TGGGACTTCTCCCACAGAATTAAAATTAAGCATAAAATGGACTTTTGAGATTAAAACATTATAGTATATGAAAAGGTTTATAATGACAAAAAGGCAGTTCAGTAGAAAGAAGAGGCACTACTAAATAGCTTAGAAAAACAAGTTTTCTATTTATTTAAAAATAGGTTTGTAGTTACTACATTGCAGTGACAGGAATTCTTACACATACATTCTAGTTTGTATAAAAGGATTCAAAGAATTATGCATCAAAACTAACATAGAAAGTGTCCACATAACAGTAAAGAAAGGTCCAATCAGTATGTACAAAAAGAAAGGGCACTGTTATCCTGTTGTGATACTGCAGGTTATAACAACATGATGTTCCAGGTTTCTGGAAGAAAAAAACTGGATAAAGCTAAAGAATTATCTTGTTTTGAAACCGTATGGTATTTATTACATACAACAGATTTAACATTGTATTCTGTACAAAATAAGTGTATTTTAAATCTGAAAATGTGTCAGTTTTCAAAATTAACCCTCTAGGTCACTTTCTTAAAATTGAGCTACATTCTACACATATCTAAATATCTTAAGTGACAGGATTTATATTTTTCTAAAAGATCTTTAATAAGATCCCTGTCTTGGTTTGCAGTTTTAATATGGTCCAAAAATGTAACTTTTATTTGTCTCATACTCTACAGCATACCATACTGGTAAATCAACATGCACAACCTTACATAGAACATAGCATGTATGTGCACGTGCCTTATATGCATGTATACAAGGTGGACATTGATATACCATTCAAAACCTAACTTCTTAGTTCTTTAAATGTAGAAATTCATTGTACAATATCACCACCCACCATCATGTATTTGGTTTGTGCCATATAAGGTTAATTTCCTGATGTGTTTATCTGCATCAAAAATAATTACAAAGTAGAGCTATCAGCTATCCAAATGAAACCCCAAAACTATATAGCTCAGATCATTTATAACTATTGTATTTTTATTGCAGTGTGTACAAATTAATCTCTGGAGCTCCAAAACTGGTACTTGTAGCTTTCAGACATTATTTTACCTTTTTTATGATAATAAGCAAAACTAACTTTCTTCACTGGGAGTGTTTAAGAGTATTTAGTATAGTTAGTAGTTAACAATTCTTCTCATAGCAAATGAAAGATTATAGAATTTAAATGACCTAAAAATGAAACCAAAAACAAAAAACCCCAAAGTTTGAATGTTTATTGAAAATACAAAACCAAAATTTCAGATAAGGAAATAAAAATGCAGTAATTTGCAACCTTGGTAGAAATAATATTCAGATTTGGGGCCATTCCTAGAGCACAAAGTCCTTTCCTTGCTACAATGTGCATAAATGTTAAAATATGTAGAGAAACTAAGCAGAAAATGCATAGCCCTTTAATCAATTGAGTATCTCAGTCCCCCCCAACTAATTATAAAACACTGCTAGGTATTATGAAAAATATAAGATACAAATTAAGAATTACTTAAACATCAAATTTCAACAGGTAGTAAACAGAAAATAAGACTGTTTCCAGCTGAAGTTTGAGCGGGTATGAGCAAAGTATATGTCATGGAATGTTGTTAGAATTGAAGCAACTGCAAAGCTTGGATGTGCTAGTTTAGTCTACATATAATAATCTTCAAAAAACTGCTGACATCCAACAAGCTAAAATTGGTATTTGAATACATTTGTACAGTAACAGTGTATTGACTGGTCTACTGCACCATACAGACAAGTGACAGTTCTAGAAGTTAACATACATGCGGCATGAGGGTCCTTTTGTCAGTCAATAATATATCTTACATAATTCATTTCCTAGTAATACTAAATTCAGTCAATCCCATCTTTTAAAGTATGCCAAAACCCAATCCCAAATTGTACAAATAAAATGTACACAAATATTTCATACAGTCATTCAAATCACATTTAAAGAGGAAGACAATTTGTAAAGATATAACTACTTGTCATAATATAATGACAATCAAACATTATTCTTTTCAGTTGCAATGAAATTGGATACTTAAATCAGTGGAAATAAATCTAATAAACTCTGGCCTCAGTTCATATTTACAGACAGAAAATAGTCTAAAACCACAATATCAGAGCTGAATGGATTTAGATTAATGAAACTACAAATCTACTGTGCCAGGTTATGAGGCCATAATTAAGATTTAATGTTTTAACTGCATATTTGCAACATTTATGTGTTTTGTAAAAAAAAAAAAAATCACTTTGGGACAAATTTTTGTGAGTTATGTTTTAGGTAACTGAAAATACAGATGGCTTTTATATATTACATGCACACAACAAGTAAGAGTTTATGAAAATTATTCCAACAAATGAGATTATTTTATTGCTCATGTAGAACAACTTGGTGTGTGTGTGTGTGTGTGTGTGTGTGTGTGTGTGAGTGTGACCACACAAAGAATTGGTATCAATGTCTCAGGACATTTTCCTAAACAGAAAACACACAAAAGAAGGTAAGGACTTAAAGCTTTTGAACTAAACCTTTGCAACACAGTGAAGCTAAATTATAAAAATATAAAATTTAAATATATCTTGTTTTACTAATAAAAATTTGAAAGTGTTTCAATTAAAAAGAACCTGACCCAAATAATTCATGATTCATAAAGAAACCAGTGTCTAGTAAAACTGTAAGCTTAAGGTCATAAATATACAGTGTTTGCAGAACAGAAAGAATTATGTGCTGCAGATAAGACCTTAAATACTCATTTCTTTGCTCAAGAGTTAGAATCATCCCACACACTGTACTAGAAGTGTTATTATACTCTCCAAGATGGTATATGGGTCCTTCTTGTCAATTCATAGCTTTAAACTGTACACACCATAAAAATATATATGTATATCTGTATATATTTTTACAGAAGATGAATTTTTAGATGAATGCTATTGTTCTTAACACAATGCAGATAACATCAGGAAATTACATATCTGATATTGATTGCCTTCAAAAGCAATGAGATCTTTTAAATTAATCATTGTTAAAGGTCAAACACACACTTCATTATTTTTAATGGTATAACTGAAAGACTGCATTTTACTGTACAACCAAGCAAGCCTTCCACCTTCTGCATTATGAATGATTTAGCCACTGAACTTTAACTGAATAGTTAAATAACCGTTAGAAAAAATAAATATACAAAGATACCTGCAAAGTTTTCAAATTAGTTTTTTCCCCAAAATGTAAAATCATAGCAATCCAGTCAAAATTTGGAAAATGGTTTACTTAATTTTACGTGAGGATTTTTTTGCACAAATCTAAGCATAAACAACCTAAAAAATCCAAATGCATCAACTATTATTTTTCTTTAGAATAATTAAATGATAGCTAATACTTAACATAACCAGAACATATGAAGATTGCTATGCAATTTAATTTGGCAACATTCAATTTAAAGACCTTTATTCTTCTACAGCTGGGTTATGATAATACATTGTTTCCTAATCCCATTTCAAAAATGTAGTATCTGAAATTTTTGGTTACATTTTTGTACCATACCAGTCCTCAGAAAATACTACATCCTTTAAATTTTTCTTGTAATGGACATTTTTTGAACAGAAATGGTATTTTAAGTTGGTTTTTAAGGTATAAAATAACTAAATGTACCATAAACAAATAAATAACTGCTTTCCTTTTCCATAGCAGTACATATAGCAATACATTCCCCTAAGTCATATAGTTATCATTTACAATAGACAACTTAATTTTACTAAAGATGCAACAACAACAAAAAAAAATAGAATACAAGGCACAATCATTAAATGGAATTTTTCTTTAGGGTGTATATTGACTTTATCAGCGTGATAAGGATACCGTAAAAAGTGCAGAAAAAACACAATGTGCAATGAGACCACTGTATAAAACATGATTGCATAAAAAGTGATTTGGCCTATTTTAACCTTTATAATTGAAAATAACCAATCTTCCTCTTAAAATTAAACTATAAAGTATGACATTTTGAAATTATTTTTATTCTAGTGCTATTTAAAAAATCCTGAAAAGAATTTTACCTGGGTAATATTGTATACGCATGTGTTTGTATATATATTTTTATATAACCATCTATCAATATATACACATACACATACAGACACATTTCTTTGTAAGTCATTTTAGCCTAGCAAATGTCTAAACTGGTAGAAATGATATTAATCCAGATCAAGTAAACAGCAAATCCCATACCTTTCCTTTAATTTCCTTGAATCCTTTAACCACTTAAATATTTTGTCTAAAACATCTCTGTCAAAGGACTCCCACCAGTGCATTATTTTTAAGTACCAAAAGGATAAATCTTAGCACAATTTTAAGTAACTTGCTAATTAGAATAATATATAGCCTTTTTAACTGTTGAAAATTGTATGCTGTATGGAGAGTCAAAAATAGGCTTCCCACTGCACTGATGCTCAGTCTTTGGCACAATAAACAGAGATTTAGTGATTGATACAAGAATCAAGGTCTGAAAAATTAGACACCAGTCAAACTTTTTCCAATGTGGATATATTTTTTATAAGAACTTTTTTTTTCTAGGTTTGGCAGAAATGGGATAAAGCAAAGTCTGTTCTAAGCTTCTGTAGATGAATTTTCCATCATTACTGAAATTAAAGATTAGCAAAGTTTGGTAATTTTATATGTATCTTTACTGGAAACACAATTCTTAATTTACTGCCACTCTTTGCAACATTCTGTCTTCCTAGGAGACGACTTCTATAATTGATAGAAATGTACCTTGCTTGGTCAAAAATAAACATACATTGTAGCATGAAAAGTTCTGTCACTAGGAATATGATGCACCTCCAACAGTGCAAGCAGATCTTTCTCTTTCATAAATAAACTAGGAATTGCTCCCCTCTCCCCTCTGAATTGTGAATAAAATGACTGTTGAAATGTATAACCTATTTGAGGGCAATAAATAGCAAACATTTAAAATATATATTTCTTTAAAGAAGTGTTCTTTAAGTTTTTTTTCTTTTCCTTTTTTTTTTTTTTTTTTTTTTGCTAATTCTTTCAAATTATAACATTCTCTAATCCATAATAGCAGCAAGGAAGAAGCCTTGGTTCTACTTGTTCCTTAACTGTACCTGCTTTATATCATTTAAAGTAAAATATTTTGGTACATGTTACCAACCAATTAAATTAGCTTTTGCTTTTTCAGTCAACTTTCGGACTCGTCCTCTGCTCGATGTTCCAAAAGTCAAAGAGGTGTCTTCAAATAATAGCTGCCTTTGTTCTTCTTCAGAGTCATCTTCATTGTAAAATGCTGTCCTTCGACCCTGGTTTCTAGTTCTCATGTGGGGCTCAGAGCCCTTAAGTTCCTCAGACCCTTCATCCTCGTCCATAGGTTCATCTGTCTTTTTTCTACTACTTCTTCTTAGCATCTTAACACTTGCAGGAACCATAAGGTCTGAATCTGGCTTCTGTGCCTTTGTCTTTCTTTTGGGCTTTCTGCCCCCACGGCCCTTTTTTTGTAACAAATCTTCTTTTACAACATCAGTTTCAGAAAGAAAATTGCACGCTGAAGAAGCTGCAGTTACTTCATCATTAATCACATCTCTAATGGTTTGTACTATGTTTTGCTCTGAATTTTCCTGTTTTATACACTGTAATTTTTTGGGCTTTCTGCCTCTTTTCTTGTGCACAACTTCATTGCTGCTTATATTCACCTCTACCTTAGGTTTCCTTCCAGGGCCTCTCTTTACAACGAGTTTTGATGGCTGACCTCCATGTCCATTTACTTGGATGCTTCCTGATGCCAAAGCATTATTCTTGCAATCTGCTAAGACAGTACAATGATAGTGTATTATTACAAGATATGGAGGAGATGAATTTGCATTTTTGTTAGCTTTCATAATGCATAATAAACTCATCATTTTACTTTTTTCAAATAATAAAAACATAACCCTCCCAAAGAAGTCAAGTCACAAGATGTTAACATGACTTGTCTGAAACAACACAGCAAGTCAGCAACAGAGGTGAGACCAAGAAATCAGATTATCTGACAGCCCAATTTTTTTTTTCCATGTCACTCTACTGGATTTAATTCACTTTTATACACTGGCTACCATTACTCTCATTGGTAACAAATATCAAGTAGAGTTGAGGGATAAGGTCATGTGTAATATTGTGTCAATATTCTCTTATACTGTTCCTTAAATTGCCATATAAGACAATAGACTTTCTCTTCAAAACCCCTCTTATGAAGGAGCTACAAAAACACTACTACTCCTAGAATATTAAAATAATTCAGTTAACAATTCTGTAAGGATATGATGGCAGTTTTAACACTCATAATATAATAATAGAAATAGAATGGAATACAAGAACTATATGCAGGATGATAACAAAGTTGAATGCTGATTTTGCACAGCATAGAGAAGTTCCTGTCTGTTAATAAAACCCTATAGTTCTTTTTCCCAATAGTTAAATGATTTCAAGTAAATTCTTTCACTTATTTTGGTAATATACCTGTTAAACTATTAAGAATAGACTTTACAATCAAGGTAAAAATTTTATAATAAATTTTACATCTCACTCAATTACTTGGTGTAAAGATACTCTCGTAACAAGAACACAGTGCTAGAATCCATATTTAGTTCGTAGGATCTAGACATAAAACACAACACAATGCCCAGGTTCTCCAGCGTATAAAGAAGTAATGAGAGAGATACACAACTCATAAGCTATTCTTACCCATTTGTTCCCTCCAGCTACTGATTTTTCTGTGTTTTTTGACAGGTGGTTAGTGAAGTTTATATGGGCAATTTACTAAGGTAGAAATTTCTTTGACACACCACCTCTATTAAGCCTTTCTTTTTCCTTCTCATATACCCTCACTGAAAATTCCCTTCTCAAACTTCTTACAGCACTCTGTATTTCTCCTTTGCATCAATCTGACTTTTCGTGTTATAAAGTTGTTGGTGTACTTGTACATTATGCCATAAGCTCCTTAAGAAAATGGCTTGTGTTGTATATTATGTATAGAATAGGATGTATTAGGCACTTAATAAATGTTTCTTGAAAGCAAATAGTGTTCACAATGATACAATTTAACCTATATCTATATTTAAAAAAGAAATAGACTAGTTAAGTGATTTTCTTCAAGGTCACACATAGCGTTAGATCTATAATTAATACCCTCATTTTCTGACTTCAAATGTAGGACACTAACTACAGTGTGGAGTTGACAGAGAGGCTCTCCGCATTCCTAGATGGAATTCTGAATACATTTCCCTATAAAGCATTGTTACGCATAGGGGTTACATGGAACTATAATGGAAATATATTATAGTTCAAACTGGCTTTTTGTGTGGGCTGACCTGGGAATCAAGTCACTGTACATAACTATTTCTGGGGGAAAATTTATTCAGAATTCTAAACTACCAATTACAGAACATTTAGAATGCAACCCATTTTTAAGTTGGAAGCAGCCTATAATATCAATGTTAAAGAACTAACTATTCACTAATTAATATACTTCAGACAACTGGCCAACTTTACTATGATAGTGGTTTGGTTGCACCATTTCCAAATTGAGAATTAAATGCACTAGGCTACAGAGTTAGTTATGTTATATTAGAGCTACAGACATTAATATTTAAATATGCAGATATTATTTCAGAGTTTAGAATTTTGAAAGTGACAAGCAACTGAGAAGAAACATAGGTCAAAGAAAGGATTTAACTATTGAAAAGGTGAGGATAGTACAGATAAGGAATGAAAGAAGAAAGGATACATGAATAATTTAGGATGTATTTGTTGATCTTGTGAAGTCAGTTTTAACATGTTCAGTATTGTTTTAACAACCAACCACTTTACTGAATCTCCCCTGAACAAAGTTTGTGCAAAAAATATCTGTATCCCAAGGAGCTTGGAAATATATCCTTTAACTTCAGAAGAAACCTGACAATTTTTTCAACATAGAAGAATATAGGAAGTTTTAGGCATTACATAATTGAATGAGTGTTACTACATAGGTCTCTAAATTTGTTTTGTTTTAAACCATATCTTTAGATGTGTCGACTCCCCACAGGAAAGATCTAATACAACATGAGCAGTCTAAAAGTTGAGTGTTAGTCCTAATAGCAGAACCAGTATTATTAATGAATTCTAGTATACCTTCAAATACACCTGAAAAGTTAACAACGTACCTTGCTGAATTGGAGTGGGTGACTTGGTAAGAGTAGATGACTTCATTTTACGTTTGACTGGCTTTTCCTTCTCCATATTTTCTCTTGCAGAATTATTCCTAGTGCTGTGACTAAAATTAGATTGACTAGGGCCTGAAAGAGTATTTACATTTTTGGAATGTTTTGCAGAATTCTCCAGTACTAAAAAAAAAAAAAAAGAAAAGAACAAGATCTTATAAGCCAAAATTCACTGAAACTTATCATGGGAGGCACTTTGATTCCCATTTCTTCACCCATTAGGAAACAGGCTATGACTGCCTCGAATGCATAACTAGATTAGTAAGGTTCAAAAACTCTGGGCTAATACTCACAACTTTCAACTTCAAACACTCAATTTTAAAAGAGGAGATGACGTCTCAGAAACGGAAGTCATTTATAGTTCCTGCTTCCTTTCCTTTATGAGAAGCTGTTCCACCATATTTTTGATTCATCTAGGTTGATAGAAAGCCCTGGGACAACTATTTATAATGATTATTTATACATGCTGTTGATGAACTTCCATTAAAGTTGTGTTCCTAATAGTCCATTATGGTGTAGATATGACCCAGTGTTCCCAAAGGCAATACCAGCTACTGCAACTTATAGCAAGTGCTACAAACTGCTAGGACTTCTGGTGTATGGGTCCAGAGTCAATATGTTATTATTTTTTTTAATTTAGCATTTTATTTTTCCCCAGTTACATGTAAAAGCAATTTTAACATTCATTTACAAAACTTTTGAGTTCCAAATTCTCTCCTTTCCTCCCTCTCCAACCTCACCTCACTGAGAAGGCAAGCAATTCGATATATGTTATACACGTGTCGTCATGCAAAACACTTTCATAATAATCATGTTGTGAAAGACTAACTGTATTTTCCTCCATCCTAAACCCCCTTCAACCTCTCCCCCCTTGTTTATTCTATTTTTCTCTTGTTTTACCCTGTCCCTTCCAATATGTTATTTTCAAGTACGTGGCGCTGTGGATAGAGCACTGGTCCTGGAGTCTGGAGAATCTGATTTCAAATTCAGCCTCAGACACTTACTAGCTGTGTGACCCTGGGCAAATCACTTAACTCCTTTTTGTCCCAGTTTCCTTATATGTCAAATGAGGAAAATAAGAGCAACTATCTTGACACCTTGTTTGTAAGATCAAATGTAACTGTAAATGTAAAAATGTAAACATAATTGTCAAGTGCTTAGTACACAGTAAGCTCTATATAAATGAAAGCTATTATTATTATTAGTTATTGTTTCTGGTCTAAGAATTAGCCTTACTAATTTCAGAGAGGCTCATCAAGCAATCAAAAAACATTAATTAAATGAATGCTGCCTAATTTCAAAGAAGAGGCAAGAGAAAATACTTTCCCTCACTTCTCTGCAAAGTTCCGTGTTCTGAGGGAAAGATGCAGGAGGAGGTCCCATGTCTACGGAGCACTGCATATACTGTCACATTTTAAAATGTACTAATTGCATTTGCTGATTCTTTTTTCTCTCTTTTTAAAAAAAAAATCTTTGTTATGAGAGATGGAGCTCTGGAAGGGGGGAGGGGAAGAAGTACATAAGGAAATTTAGGTGATATAAAACAAAAGATCTCAATAAATACTTTTTAAAAAAAAGTTAACAAACACCTATATGCCAGGGACAGATTGTGCTAGGTGCTGGGGATAAAAAGACACAAAGCAAACAATCCCCTCCATTGAGGAACTTATATTGTATTGGGTAAAACGACATGTAAATTTAAGTAAACACTAACAGCTGGAAAGGTCTCATGTAGGAAGTGGCACTTTAGGTTGAGTTTTAAAGGAAGCTAGAGTATTCTAAGAGATAGAAGTGAGGAGGGAGTAATTCCAAGAATGGATGACAAAGTGTAAAGGCAGAGAGATTTGGGAATGCAATTTCATGTGGAAGGTACAGGACATGTTCACGCCAGATTTCAAGTCAAGAAGGCCTAAGCCTCAGTTTCTGCATCTGTTAAACAAAAATAGTAATATTGTTGTACCTGCCTCATATCTGTGAAACAAAAATGAGATAATGCAAATAAAGTACTTTACAAACTTTAAAGGGCTATATAAATGCCTGCAAAAAAATAAATGATAATTTTATAGTAATTTATGCAAAAAGGAAATTGAAACAAGACTTGATAAACTAGAGACATATGAGGCAGAGAGAGAAAAATCCAAGGTTACTTTAAACCCTGACTGAATTATAAAATCAAAGTTCAGGTGTGGTCAGATTAAGGACTAATTGTAACTGTTTACTTCTTATGTATAATAAATATTACCAGTTCTATTATGACTGTCATTTTTATTTGAGTAGTCTGAAATAAAGGCTTAGGCTGAGATGAGTATGATGGTGTGATTCTAAAACAAAATAAAACTAAGAGATAAAAAGGAGCAATAATCTCATACAAATGAGGCAAAAAATTAAACAGACTGATACAGAAGCTAGTGGGGGGAGGGCGGGTTGTGCTAAATTTGGGAGTCATCAGTATAAAAAGGCTACTTGAAATTATGAAAAAAGGATGTTTTCATCAAGAAGTAAATGTTAAAAGAAAAGTACAGAAAGGTGAAAGGTAAGTTTTGGGAGATACCTACAATTAATATGTGAAAAGAGGAGAAATGGAGAGAAACCAAGTAGGGAACTCGGACATTCTGCACTATCATAGCCAACAGGAGAATTTCAAGAACAGCCTTTTATCAAGAAGTTAGTCAACATGATCAAATGGTCCTGAGAAGTAAAGGAAGGAGACAACCAATAAGGCTTCGGATTCAACTAGGTAACACTTTTCAAAAAGGTTTTTTTGCCACAGGGGAACACTCAGGAAAATATTCCAAAATTTTCACAATATAACAAGTATTTTACTGTCCCAAACATTAATCAACAAATGAAAAGAAAGAGATCTTCTACTCTATTAAAAACTATTAAACGATTAAAAATTATTTTTAAAAAAAAGCAGAGGATTCTGGGAAGATGGAGTAGGTCAGAAAACTTTCAGCTCTCCAAATTTCCTCCACAGAAAAAGACAGAATGTTGCCTCAGAGGGAATGAAGAGTAGCAGAAATAAACAAGTCAGGGTAAAGCAGTTGTTGTCCTAAGACAACCTAAGAAGACCCTATGAAAGACCTGACTTCCAGGGCAGAACGGGGTGGAAGTTCAGCCTGAGTGAAATGCAAACACCTCCAAGGCCAACTCTACGGAATCAACAAACAGCAAGCTCTGGGCAGCTAGGGTTGGGAGGCAGCCTCAGCCCTAGAAACTTTCATCTCACAGACCATGAAGGGTTCTGAAGGCTGAGAAGGAAAAGATTGAAGGACCTTCCATTGTCAAGGGATGCCAAGCACAGCTGTGCTAACCAAACTCGTCCTGGGCTGTGGCTGTGGGAAGAAGCAGCTAGCACACACCTACTAAATGCAGTAGCAGAGGGGTGGGGAACTGTGGGCTGTGGATACTTTGAGGAGAGCAGAGTCCCTGATTTCAGTTCCAGGGAAGAGAGGGCAGCTGTATTTTGCAGCCACCGGGAGAAAGATCATTGTGACCAGGGGCTCTTGCAGTGATTTAGCGGTGGAAAGGACAGCCCAAGGTTGAGCTCCAGGACAGACTTCAGAAAATAACAGTAAGAACAGCCTGAGACTTGGGGCATTACTCTCTATACCTTGGGACTAGAACTTGATGAGAGAAAGAAAGACAGAAAGAAAGAGAAAGAAAGAACAAAGGAGAAAGAACCCAACCACAGATAGCCTCTATGGGGATAGAGAAGATATGGGTTCGTATTCAAAGGAAGATAATGGAGTTAAAAAAGCCACCCCATTTTCAATGAGAAATGCTGAATGGTCCCAAGCACAAAAGAAAAATTTCTTAGAAGAACATAAAAAAGACTTTAAAAATCAAATAAATATCAAAAATCAAATAAGAGAGATTGAGGAAAAATTAGAAAAAAAATAACAGCAATTCAAGAAAATCAAGAAAATTATGCAAGAAAGTCAACAAAACTGAAATAGAGAACCAAAAACTTAAGGAAGAAAATAATTCCTTGAAAACTAGAATTGGGGAAAGGGAAGCTAATGATGTTCTAAGACACACAAAAAAATAAAACAAAATCAAAAGAATGAAAAAAAAATAGAAGAAAATATAAAACATCCCATCAGAAAAATAACTGGAGAATAGATCAAGGAGAAATAATACAAAAATAGTCAGACTGCTTGAAAATTATGATGAAAAAAGGAATTCTGATACAATATTACAAGAAATTAGCAAGGAAAACTGCCCTGAAGTTGTAGAACAAGGTGGCAAAACAGAAATAGAAAAAAATTTATCAATCACCACCTAAAAGAGACCCAGAAGGAAAATTTACAGGAATAGCATAGCCAAGTTTCAAAGCACCCAGATTAAGGAGGAAATATTAGAAGCAACAAGAAAAAAAAAAACTTAAATATCGTGGAGCTACAATAAGGATTACACAAGACCTAGAAGCTACTACATTGAAGGACTATAAGTCTTAGAATACTATATTTTCATAGAGCAAAAGAAGTGAGGTTAAGACCAAGGGTAACTTACCCAGCAAAGTTAAGTATAATCCTGAATTAAAAAACAAAAGACACTTAATGAACAGAAAGACTTCTAGGTATTTGTGACAAAAACAGTAGAACTTAAGGGAAAATTGGACACATAACATCAGGAGAAATATAAAGTAAACATTAAGAACCAATTACAAGGGACTCAATAAGGTCTGTTTACGTCTTACATATGATAAGTATCTGTTCGTCATTTTTAGTCTGAAAGAAAGGCTTGGGCTGAGATGAGTATGATCGTGTGATTCTAAAAATAAAACTGTGTAAGGACAGATAAAAAGGGGCAATTATCTCATACAAATGAGGCAAAAGAGAAAAAGATGGATACTGGTGAAGCTAACAGAGGGGAGGCGGTTTGTGCTAAAACCATACTCTCATCAGAAATGGGTCAAAGAAGGAACTATCTGTATCTATCTATATCTAGAAAGGTATAAACGTTCTATATTCAGAAAGAAGAGGGCAAAGGATAGGGTGGGGGGAGAGGATGAGGATGGAATTCGTGGAGGGGTGGGTAGGTTAATGAATAGGGCAGGTAAGGTAGCAGGGAGAAGTAAAGCAGAGGAGTGAGGAGTGATAGGAATAGGATGAGAATAGTACAAAAAAAAAAAACAGGAAGGAGGAAAATATACAAGTAATTATAGCTAAGAATGTGAATGTGATGAATTTACCCATAAAATGGAAACTGATAGATAAAAATTTGAAATTCAACAATATGCTGCTTTCAGGAAATGCTATAAAAATGAAAGATATACACAAACTTAAAATAAAGGTCAGGAGTAGAATTTATTATATAAAAAAGCAGGGGCAGTAATCATGATTTCAGATAAAGTTAAAGCTAAAATAGATTTAATCAAAAGAGAAAAATAAGATATTATACTACGTATCAGTATTGTTTTAGACCACTTTAAAATAACTAGACAGTCTAAAATACCTGAGAGTATACCTGCCAAAACTGACACAGGAACTATACGAATATAAATATAAAACACTTTTTATACAAATAAAGTTAGATCTAAATAACTGAAGTAATATTTACTGTTTATGGGTAGATAAAGCCAATACATAAAAAATATGACAATTATACCTAACTAATCTATTTTATGTAATGCCATCCCAATTAAATTACTAAAAAATTATCTGAGTTAGAAGAAATAATAACAAAGTTCATTAGAAGAATAAAAGGTCAAGAACTTCAAAGAAACTAGGGGAAAAAAGATGTAAAGCAGATTCAGTAGTATCAGACCTTAAACCATATTATAAGGTGAGAGCACTGTTGAAGTGTAAAATGGATAATTTTCATTATTTTATATTAAAATGTTTTTCTATAAATAAAATTCATGCACCCAAGAAAAGAAGGTATGCAGAGAGTTGGGGGAAAACTTTTACAGACAATCTTCCTGACAGAATGGAATTGGGTTGGAATATTTCTGTGGTGTAGTAGGAAATGAGCTGGTTGATTTAGAAAAACACAGAAATTCTTGGACTTATGAAAAAAAGATGCTATCCACCTTCAGAGAAACAGAGAACAAGTAGAAATAAACACAGTACGGTCTTACAAATATGTGTATGAGTATATATGTGTATGTTAATGGATATTTATGTATATGTATAATATGTGTCCATGTGTATCTATCTATCTATATCTCTGTGCTTAATTGTAGCCATCAGAAGGGTGGGGAGAATAACATAAAAAGTGCACAAAAGAAAACCTACAAGGAAGCAAAGAAAAGCTGGACAGCTTTGAAAACAATGTGTAGTATTTCTTATATAGGTTTTCTTGAAATGGATTTATACTGAATCCTCTCTTATGTTCTGCTGTGTACATGGCAATTTTTTTTACCTTTCTTATTTTGTACTTAAGTTTAAAATAAATTTAAAAACTAAAAAGAAAAAAAAATCAAAAGTAGAAAAGAAATAAAAGGAATGATTTTAGGCTTCACAAAGTTACAGGCTAGTTGTGTTTATGAATGCAAATCTTAAAGGAAAAAAAGGTTTAGAAAAAACACAAAATCCTCTGAAGAGGCTTACTGAAATCTGTGCAAATGTAATATATTTCATTCTACAAGGTATCAAGAGTAAAGAATTTTGAAAATTTAGACATAAGTTCACAGGGACATCATTTTACTAGGGAATCTTAAATTAAGAAATTATGAATGACTCGACTCACTTGTTTTCCCAGGTATCACAGAAACATTAGGTTTTGAAATCAAAGGTTTGCTTCCTGAAGATGTAGATGGTTGCTCAGTTATAGTCAGGTCTGTAAGTCCTCTGTTGCTTCTAGTCCGTACCACAGAACTGGACTCGATACTTTTTCCATTCATCTGAGCAGCATTGTGTCTTGGGGCTGTTGTTCGTGAAGGTGTAGAAAATGGAGAGGTAGAGATATCTGCCTTCAGGAGAGGTTTTAATAACCTTTTTTTCCTTTCAGGGCTGTAAATTTAAAAAATGAAGCTTGTAACACACATGGTCATTTGTAGTTACCTGAGGATCCACATACAAGTTTCACAATACTGTGGGATTCAAAATAATTTGTACTGTAATGAAATGTTAAATGTGACATTTGTAGTGAATTTTAAGGAGTAGTGAGGTTCAGATAAGTGAATCTTTAGTGAAAGATCACTGTATAGTTATGACAGAAAAAGCATGATGCCATCACTATCCTAAAAATACTGTTTTACTGTATGTTTAGCAGTTATTTGAATTTAAGCACTTACACTAGTATAGCTTTAGTTAAAGTTTAAAAATCCTCCACATCATAGGAACTTGCATGTCAAATATATCATTCTGTAATATAGGGAATAGTAAAAGAAGCATTAAAAAAAACCACACCAAGTTTAACCATTCAGATGTCAAACTTATGGATCATTTCATGCTTTTAAAAAAAGAAATAACTGTACCTTGATGCAGTGCTACTGGAAATAGAGCTGCTTCTGTTTCTTTTCTTCCTCTTTTTGGTTATTGTATTTCTTTTATGGAAACGAAGAGCAGATTTATAATCTGATAAAACTGAACTAATGTGTTCCTCAAAGAAAGCAGACAGACGCAGACTCATACTATAAATCTATAAATAAAAGGAATTGTGTCAGTGTTTTAACAATTACATACAATAGTAAATTTTCTCTTCAGTAAAATCCTGATTTTAAAATCACAATTTTTTCTCAATAGCAAATTTATAATTAAAAAAAAAAAAAAGGCAAACACATAAGATTTATGCCCCGAATGAAAGGAAACAAGCACTTATTAAATACCCACTATGTGTCAGGCACTGTGGTAAGTGCTTTACAAATATTATCAACCATTCCAGGAGGCAAGTACTATTATCCTCATTTTATAGTTGAGAAAAATGAGGCAGACAGAGGTTAAATTACTTGTGCAGGGTCATACAACTAGTTAGTGCCCCGAGGATGGAATCAAACTAAAATCTTCTTAAGTCCAAGTCCTATGCTTTAACCACTGCACTACATACCTTCCTCCTAAATGCAGTCTTTGGTCAAGATTTTGTTTTTTATCCTTTTTTTGTGTGCAGTACCTATAACCTTGAACTCTATAATCCACAAGAGTCCTCTTCACTGCTGACCTAATTAGCCATAGTTTCAGTTAGTTCACAATGGGCTACTTTCCATGTACTGATATCCATTATCTCGCTTCCAGAGTTCCCTTTTTCTTTAGTATCACCAAAACCAGGCAAATATTTTAATTTTTACATTTACAAATTTACATTTATAAATTACCCACACAAATGTTCTTCCTCCATTAAAAAAGAGCTGACCACACAATATTAAAAAAAAAAAAGACAAGTTAGTTTCTGAAAATTATTTACTCCACTTGCAAACCAAGATTCAAACTATTACTAATCAACTGCACTATTTTTCTCCCCCAGAAAATACCTTTCTTCAGATAAACACTTCATTTTCATAGACAGTACAAACTAATGAAGGCATAAGAGTTCATATTCAATTCTGGTAATTAAAGTTAATGAACAAATATCTAAATTACTTTTGCAGATTAGAAAACATTTCAACATTGTTTTAAAATTTATAGAGCCAGCTATAAACATTTAGTTGTTTACATTTATAAATAAAGATGGTATTATGAGCAGAAAATTACACATTTGAGAAAGAAAATTTAATTCCATACCCTTGATCTCTTGCTTGGTGTGTAAGCTTTGGAATTGCTAAAAATAAGTCTTACATCTTTACACAATTCCATTGGTGACTCATAATTCCCAGCTTCCAAAGTTTCCCTAACTGTAGCAAAATCCATTGGAGTATCAATAATGTCTCTGTAATCCTACAGGGGGAAAAAAAAAAGATTTTAAGGCTGTAAATCAATGTTCCTCAAAGGTAGAAGGGTCCATGTAAGTTCTAAAAGAGCCACAGAGACTGCCCTGTTAGTAAACAACCTCCCCAGTTCCCCAATGTCCCAAATAAAAAATATTTTCTTAGGTAGCATCAGCCTCTATATTTACCTCTCCCTATTCTCAGTAATCAAAATTTAATGCAGTGCCTATATCCTCCCAGTATCATAAATATCACTGTAGCTCTCTTCATGAAACAAAACAAAAAAGCCCCAACACACATGAAGGTTATTTCCTTTTTAACATTATACTGATCTTAAAGTTAAGAAGAGGGTACATGGTGAACAAATTTTAGGATCATCATGTATATATTACAGTTACAAGTAAAACAATATATGAAAATAAATGTCATTTGTAATTTGTATCAGTTTTGAACTACGTGATATAATTATAGTTTCATCATAAAGAAGAGGCAATGTGAAATGCAGTTGCATTATACTTATTCAGGTCATGTCTTTAGCAATCTTAATTTTCTGTTGCCATATATAGCTCTATACTGAAATAATTAAAATAATACTGTTGTTTTAATATGATTAATTATACTCTTAAAAAGCACTTTACATAACATTAACCTAATTTCAGCCATACAAAAACTCTGAAAAATTGGCATTACTAGCATTATTATCCTCATTTCACAAGTAGTATATAAGTTCAGAGGTGAAAACCTATGACCACACAACCACTATAAGAAGAATTAAAATCCAAATCCAACACTGTATTCACTATACCATGCTGCCCCTGAAAAAGGCATCTGATGGGTAGGACACAAAAAAATGCTAAGTGGCGAAACTGTGAACTGGTAAAATTGTTGTGGAAAGTAATTTGGAATTATACTAAAAAATTCACTAAACTGTACATACCTTTTGAGTTTTGATAGTATTACTAGGCAAATAATCCAAGGAGGCCAATAATAATGGGCAAAGTTCTACTTATACAAAAATACTTATTTCAGCACTTTCTGTAATATCAAAGAACTGGAAAAGTGGGCGCCCAATGATTAGAGAACAGCTGAGGAAACTGTGGCATATGAATATAATAGAATATTGCACTGAAAGAAATAGTGAATATGAATAATCAGAGAAAGGTGGGTAGACTTGTATGAAATAGTGTGGAACAAAGTAAGCAGAACAATTTACACAAAGATCAAGGTAACAACATTAGAAGACATCAGAGGAGTGATAGTGAAGGATGCTTTCTGCCTCCTGGCAGAGTAGTGTGGAACGAGGCATACATTTTTAGACATGGCTAATGTGTTGATTCTCTTTTGCTTATTACAAGAGAGGGTTCTAATGATGGCAAAGGTGAATTATTGGGAAATGACAGCAAACAAAATCAAACAAAAGGATCAATTTTCATAGGCAATTTGATGCCAAAATACTCCTAAATATCATTCTAGGAAAAACTAAGCCAGACTCTAGGGTTGCATTCAGAAAACTGTAAAAACCATAGCCAACACTTTCAGCACCAAGTTGAAGGAAGACAGAAGGATAAGCTTTAGTAAGGGGGGACAATAGGGATAAAGTCCTTGATACCTCATAGCCAACATACAGCAAACAGATTCTTATAACTCTGTATAATAAAATTCTTTATGATAAAATGATACTAAATTACATTTCATATTTTAAGACAGCAAAGAAAACTATATAAGTATAATTATAAAGTAATGAAATTAATTTTTTTAACGAATGGGCTAGACACAAGTTCAAGATTTTGGAAAGCTATATACCTACTCCTGGCAAAACATTTTTTGAATTTGCTTCAGAGACAGTATACCCACCACAAAAGAAAACCAGTCTCCTTTATTGTTATACTTTTGAACAGAAGACTGTCAGCTTGATCATTCCCATTATTTACCAGACCGAGCTATAAATGACTTTTAGGGTCATTTCCAAAAATCAAACTTATACTCAAAAGATGACAATTTGCTGTAACTGAGAATTTTTTAAAGAATATACATGATAGACAATTTTTCTTTTCTACCACCACTTCCCAATGACTCCCTCATGCCTCAAAAGAACTGTCCATTACAGCAAAGCACAGGCCATTTTCAAAGTAAGAGCTTTAAAAATGTCTTAAGTAGTAGTTTTGGAAAAAATATATCAACTAGAAAGTGATAAAACAGTCATTTGGATATATACATTCTGGTAAGTTTGATAAACTAATCATTTTGTGGTTATAACTGTTAGATTTCAGAATTTTTAAAATAAAAAATAAACATTTAAAAGGAAGACTTAGCAATAATTTTTAATTTGTAAAATTAATTTGCATCACTTAAGTGATGGATTAGTGAAGTACTTACTATTTTATCACTACATTAAATCTGGGAAATTTGTTTAATGCAATAGTTAAATAAAATTTTAAAATACCTGCTGATAGCGAATTAAATTTAAGGTGACAGGAACAAAGATTTAGAAATATCTGGAAGTTTAGAGATCTTCTATTCTAAGCAACCTCTTTTTAGAGGAAGAAATTGAGGATGAGAGTTAATGACTGGCTCAAAGTCACACAAATACTACATGGCAGAGCAGGGGATTTGAAACCAAAGACCTATGTCTCCAAGTTTAGTGTTGTCTTTCTTTTGATACCCCTGTTAACCTACTCTTACAAAAATCTGCTAGGTTTCAAATATTCCTAAATCTACTCCCTAAATAATGGCCAATATCAGAAAATTAATCAGGATAGAAGTAAGCAGAATCAAGAGAAAAGTATATAACAATGACAATAATAGCATAAATAAAAACACCTCAAAAGGCAACTAGACTCTGATTAATTTTAGTCCTACAGAACAGTAGGTGAAACATCTTCCTCCCTCTTATACTCCAGATATGGAATGTTATATAATGTCAGAATGTCAGAAGCTTGTGTTGTTTTTGCTTAAACTTTTCTTATAAGAGAGGGGAGAATACGTGAGTGGGAAAAGAATATAGGTATAAAAACAAAAAAAGCTGATGTACTTGCTGTATAATCAATATTGTAGTAATAACTTATTACTAATACTCACCTCTTAATGCTAGATTTTTGACCATTTTATACCTTCAAGTACCTCCAGCAATGAGTTTCAGAGGAAAAGATATTAAGTGAAATTAAAATACATACTAATTTTATTATTTAACAACTCTGGCAAAAATTTTGTTGGGGAGTGGAAAAGGGTAACACTGGGTAAAACTATCCGTTTTCATATTATCACAAATAAATGGGTTGAGTATATGCTTACCACTTTATCTGTTTGGAAAAAAAATGCTGTTTATAAACTTATCAACAATTCAATTACTTGTCTGGGGATAATTTGATATAGATTTTCAATTGACAAAAATATTTCATGAACTCTGTTACTGTTAAAATATTTCATGTTCTCTTATTTCTCATTTCATACTAAATATAGACTAGCACCTAACAGTGCTGTATCAAGTGAACATGGCTTCAAATAAAGGAATTAAATAAAATGCCTTAAGCTAAACTTAGCTTATCAAGTTATATTTCTTAGAGGCAAAAAGAAAGATGTGAAATGCAGGTTTCCTCAACTGTTTCAAGAATACATTCAATAAGTTTATAATGATTTAAATGCTTTATTAAATACTAAATGGCCTTTCAATAATGAAAGTTTATATTTCATACTGAAGAAACCAAAATATCATTTATGAAATGCATTTAAAAATGAAATTCTATCTTCACAAAAACATGGCCTAACTACAGTTCTTGAACATAACTTCCTTTTCAACAAACATTTATACTGAAAAACAAAACACAACACTCACTGGATATTCAAGGAGATCTACAGGCTGGCGAAATGGTTCAGAATCTTCACACTGAAATATGAGGTTTAATAATTCTTGGCACTGATTCCTCCAGGCCTGGGTATCGTAAGATTGAGCTCTATTGCGTAAACGTCTTCTGGGTTGGTGGTCCTAACATCACAAATTCAAATACATTCATTCAATACAATTTTATAGTTCTAAAAATTGGTTTAGAATAATAAAATAATACTTAAATGATGATACATCCCCCCACCGCCTTGAGTTCTGGTCTGCCTATTGGACATTTCAAGTTGAATGTTCCATAGGTACCGTAAAAACTCAACATATCCACACTAGAACACATATTAAAAAACAAACAAACCACATTTTGATAATTATATTTCAATGTAACCAATTTTCTTCATAATCTATTGCATTTTAAAAAACACATTAAAATACATTATTCTATGAAGGGGTACATAGGCTTGATGAGATTGCCAAAAAGGCCCATGATACAAAAAAAGTTGAGAACTCCTGCTCTAAGGCTACATCTCATCTACCTGATATATCTTTAACTAGCTCTCCCCCATTTAGAAAGGGAGCACTCGCAGGGCAGGAGCTGTTTTGCTTTTCTTTTTTGTCCCAAGAGCTTGGTGTTAATATTATATTATATTAATGCTTCTTTTAAAAAAGATTGTTTTCAATATTCTTTATTTCATGTACAAGTATGTTCCTTTCTCTGGGTGAGAAATTAATGATAAAAATCAATGAAATAAAACAATAAAAAATAAATTACCTTCCTTTTACGGGTAGAAGTTCCTGGCACATCAGCATCTTTCTCTTCTTCCTTTGAAGCAAGAATTTATGAGTTTCATAAAACACTAGGAAATAATGTTTCATATCTCACTCTGTACATGATGTTTAACTATGTAGTTTTCACCCCCCCCTTTTACTTTGGAACGCCTTGAAAATAGCAGCATATTTGAAAATTATGAAATCATGCTGACAAGGTCCACTACGAATTTGTTACACAATATCAACTGGGTTCTCACTGTAGCAAGGCAAGCCTTTAAACCCCTCTAATTCAACTGTTATTCCACATAATACAACAGCTATTCCTAACCTTTTCATCTTCCCCTTAGCCTCCCATAACTCCTCCTTTGTTCCACCCTCTAACCCGAAGACCTTGACTCAGACCAAAAAAAAACTGACTGTTATTCAACAAGAGCTCCCTCTTCTCTCACACTCATTTTCATCTTATATCACCACACATCTTTTACTCTCTTATTCCTTCACCTCTGTTTCATATGAAGAGGTGGGTCGTTCTTGCCAAGGTAAATCCCTTAACATGTACTCTTGACCTTGATTCATTCCCTGCTACCTACAAACATGCGCTCAGGTCTCTCCCATTCTTAAACCTCGCTTAACCCACGAAACTTATGGCTCAACTCCTTGAGATATTATCTATACTGGTAATTTTACCTCCTCTCCTCTTCACTCACTTTTAAAACATTTTGCAATACAGACTCATCATTTAACTGAAACTGCTCTTTCCAAAGTTACTAATGAGCTTTAAATTACCAAATTTATGGCCTTTTCTCAATCCCCATTCCTCTTGACCTCTCTAAAACCTTAGATACTATGACCCTCTTCTCCTGAATAATTTTTTCTCTAGGTTTTCATGACACTGCTCTCTGCTGGCTCACTTCCTCGCTGACTGCTAATTTTCTTCTTTCTGGTTTTTTGTTCAGGTTAACGGTCAGTAACCATGGATGTTTCCCACTGCTCTATCCTGGGGCCCTCTTCTCTTTTTCCCTCTATATTGCTGTGCTTGTTGATCTCATCAGCTCCCACAGATTCAACTGTCATATCTATGTAAATCTATATATCTATATATAGATATATAAGATCTATATATCTTTCTTCTCCTCTGAGCTCGTCTTACAACTTTCAACTGCACGTAGACATCCTGAATTTACACATTCTATAGTTTTCCAAAACTCAACATGTCCGAAACAGAATTCATTCATCCTCTCCTCACTTCTCAATTTCCCATTACTACTGTGAGCACCACCACTCTCTCAGTCATCTAGGCTCGGAACCTAGGTTTCATTCTCAACTCTATTCATTTATCCCATATCTCCAATCTGTTGTCAAATCTTGTCTTTATCTTGACAATATCTCTCGCATGTCTTCTCTCCACATCCACACTAACCATCCTGTTACAATTCTTCTTGTTTGGGCTCTTTATAGCCTTTTAATAGATCTCCCTGTCTCAAGTCTTTCCCTACTCCAATTCACCCCTCATTTAAGTTGCTTTTCCTAAACTGCAGGTCTGAGAATGTCACTCCTCCTAATCAATAAACTCCAGTGGTTCTCTATTATCCCTAGGATCAAATATAAAATACTAGTGGACTTTTAAAAGCTCCTCTTAACCTAACCCCCTCCTAACTTTCCAATATTCTTACATTTGACCCTTCTTACACTCTACAGCAACTATACTGGCCCAGTTGCCGGTGTCTCACACAACACTTCTCTCTTCCTGACTCCATACATTTGCAATGGCCATTCCCCATGCCTGGAATGCTCTCCCTTCTTACCTCTGCTTTCTATTTCTTCCTTTATGACAATTCAAACAATACCTTCTGCAGAAGTTTTTCTTGGTCTCTCCCACTGCTGGTACCTGCCCCAGGATTACCTTCCATCTATCCTGTTCATATCTTTTATGTACTGTTCTATAGACATATTGTTTACTACATTAGAATGATTACACTACTTTTATCTTTCTTAATATCCCAGGCACTTAGCACATTGCCAGGTACTCATAAAAAGCAATTAATAAATGCTTATTTACCACAATACTGACATTTCTGTTCATTGATAAGTTTGTATCTAGTTTAAGGGTCTTATAACTACTACCAACTCAAATACAATATACCAATCAAATGCTTCTAAAAAAATGAGGATACTAGATTAAAAAAAATTTTTTTTATCCCAAATGATTAATAACTCACTAAAATATATGGATTTATTTTAGTCCACTGATTAAACTCTAATAATGACAATAAAATCTTAAATTACCTCCGAATCAGACAGGACTTTCTTCTTCATTGTATTGTAGAGTGGAATTATGTTATAGCAAGTCTGATCTCTATATAACAAGAAATGTTAGTACAAAGGCTTGTAATATCAAATTTAAAAATTAAAAAAAAAATATAAACTGAATGTTAAGAGCTAAAATAATTTTCTATTAATATGTATTTCCTATATTATTTAAATAAGCATATCAAAACTTTGGGAGGTTACAATGCCCCAGAACTTATTTGAAAATTTACCCACAACAGATGTTAAGTATATAAATAAGTAAGTTCTTTTACCGTTGACATTCAAGGCCCTCCACAATTTCAATCAAATCTACCTTTCCAAATTAATTTCTTACTTAAATTCTCTCAACTCCAGTTAAGACTTATGTTTCCTTGAATGTACCATAAGCATTGAAATCTGAGCTTTTGGCTCGTCATTCCTTCCTTCCCAGAATGGCCCCCTTCAACCATACAAATCCTATCCACCTTTCAAGAACTAGTTCAGATTCTTAGAAACATTACCTGACCTCTACAATTATCATTCCTTTAAATTCTTTAACTTTCTTAAGTAGACTGTAAGCTTCTTGAGATTCAGAAACATGTTATTTTCTGTGTATCCTACCTAGCACCTTAGTAAATAAGTAGTTCTCAAACTTCAGAATACTGATGTTGAGGTTAACTCCCTCAACTATTCTCCTTGTCATTCTATTTTAATTATTATTGTTATTGTTATTATTTGCTTAGTTAACTTCACCCTCTCCAGTAACTTAATCTACCACTCTTATTCAGATATCTTTCTTTAGCAGCCATCACACATGCTTAACTTCTTTCTACCTTGCTGTCTTGTGAATACCCTGAACTGAATATATTTAAGATAAAATTCTTCATATTCCCTGCCAATCCATTCTCCCCTGACTGCAATTTCCGTTAATGGAATCACCATTTTCCTAGTCAACCAGATTCAGTTTTGGACTCCTCCTTGACTCTACCCTCTATCACATCCTTCAATATCTAGACACAAAGTCCAGTTAATTGTACTTCTGAAATATCTTTTGCATGTATCTCTATCTTGCAAAATAAATTTTAACTCTTCATTTGGAAACTTTAACCTTCCTCTTCTAGTTTTACATTGCACTAATCACCTATACATTCCCTATATTCCAGCAAAATTGAACTAATCATTCTGGTGTGCTTTTTCCAGTTTTGCTCTTGATGGTCTCTCAAATCAGAATGCCCTTGCCCTCTCATAATCTGTCTCACTGGATGAGACAGCTTAAATGTTTCCATCTCCATTGAATCTTCCTTAATACTACCAGCTAAAGGATTTTTTTCACCAGAGAACTCCTGAGGTCTCTCACATGGTATTTATTTAGCACATCCTGTCTTGGAATTTAGATATTTACATACAGATATTATTTCTTTGTTAGATCTTAAGTTCTTAGGGTAGCTAATACTGATTTTTTATCTCTCAAATACAAATTTTTCTCTGCCAAGGCATTAAGGAAAGTGCCCAGGTACAATAAATATTTACTGAATAGAATAATACTTGTTTAATAAGTAAAAAATGAACAACTTTCGTAGATAAAGAAAATACCTAAAATCTTTAAAACTGCCTATTCTAAAGAGTCTAAATAGTCTATTCACAGAAGCTGAGTTGGAAGGGACCCCACAGCAGTCATCCAGTTCAATTTTTACATAATATAGTAAATGTAACAAGCGGTATCTAGATTTTGAGTAAAGACCTTTGGTATGGGGGAAACCTACTAGCTTCCAAGGCAAGTACATTCCATTCTTGAACAGTTTCAATTGGTAGAAAGTTTTTCTGTATCTCAAACTTTATTTGCTATTTTCTCCCCACTGTTCCTAGGCTTTGACCCTTCTGTAAACACGCAGAATAACATAATCCCTCTTCCACATGACAGCCCTTCAAATACTGAAAGACTTACCCTATGCCACCCCATGCACCTTCCCAAGTCTTTCCCTTTTCAAGCTATACATTTCCAGTTCCTTCAAATTTTGGAGTCTTCTTGACTCTATCCTCTATCACATCCTCCAAAATACACAGGCACAAAATCCTGTTAACTCTACTTGTGATTCTATCTAATTCTGATCAGATTACACATTTGAAGTATTGTCATCAGGACTAGGAAGGATACTGATAAGCTTGGAACATTTCAGAGTAGGACAATGAAGCTGGTGAAGGGCCTCATGACAATACCATGAGGATGATTTGAAAAAACTAGGAAAGTTTAGCTTAAACAAAAAGAACACTTAAGTGATAAGTTATAGTGGTCGTTAAGTATTTGAACAACTGTCATGTGAAAGAGGAATCAGATAGACTGGGCTTTTGTTCTTTGGAAACTTTTTCTACCAAACATAGCTACCCTAAATTGACATGGGCTGCCTCTGGAAGTCATAAGTACAAGAATAAGCGATTCTTTTTTTTTTTTAAAAGGCAATTGGGGTTAAGTGATTTGCCCAGGGTCACACAGCTAGTAAGTGTCAAGTATTTGGTCTGAGGCTGAATTTGAACTCAGGTCCTCCTGACTTCAGGGCCGGTGCTCCATCCACTGTGCAACCTAGCTGCCCCCAGAATAAGTTATTCTTACTCAGTTGTAGGCTGGCCAGCCTCTGAGATTTGTGACATCAGTATGTTAAGGACCTGTGATTCTGACTGTATGGTTTAAATACAAACTCCTCTCTTTAGTTTTAAAGCTCTACAAAATCTGGCCCTGGCAGATAGTTTCACTGGATATTACTCTCCCCTCCTACACTCTGTAATCTAAACAAATTGACCTTTTCTCTGCTTCTCAGCAGATATTATTTCATGTTTCTGTGTCTTTGCATTGGCCATCCCATATACGTCAAATGCTCTCCTTCCTTACTTCTACTTACTAAGAGTCCTCATTCTTCCTTTAATATGCAATTCAAGCACCACTCTCTGTATGATACCTCTCCTGTTTCCTCTAACTACTAGTCCCACCCCACAACTATTTTATAAGTAACTGCTCTCTACATATCAATTTCATATTTATGCTCTGTGTGTGTGTGTATATATATATATGTAAGTTTATAGGTACTTGTATTCCCCAGTAAAATGTAAATTACAAACAGGTATTATTTAATTCTTTTTATTTGTTTTCTCACTACCTAGCATTATGCATGTAGTAAACACTTAATACTTGTATTATCTCATTTATATCTAAGAAGATGACACTGGGGAAATTACGTTAGAATGGTGGGGAATGGTAAAGGAAGGTGTGGTCTGTGGCAGAGAATTCTAGAATGCTTAATTTAGTATTCTCAAAGGCTAATTATCATCTGGTATAACAGCCCTATACTTGTGTTTATTAACTAAATACATAATGTATTGTAGATGTGTGGGGAATACAAATATTAATGCCATTGGTGATGATCCCTTATAATTAAGATTACATAATAACCCTGTATTTACTTTTCTATATAAGAAGATATTTTGAGTTGGACTGGATGTCTTTAAGGCCCTCTCCAGGTCTAAATGTATGATTGATCCTGTGTGCTCCTTATCTTGAGTTCTATAACAGTAGTTATATGAATAATGGCCCTACTTTATATCATTTAATACTGTTAATTACTGGTATTGTAGTTAGAATTAATAAAAAAGTAATCATGAACTTACTTTATAAAGTGTAGAAGAAGATCAGTGACAAATTTGGCAGATTTCACAATAGGGCTTCCAGGCTCATTAAAGGTACGTGTATTATGTTCTATATAACGAACTTCCCACATCAGTGACGAAACCCGCCTTTGGAAGAAAAATACAAGAACTAACTCATATTTTTAAAATGTACATAGAAATTAAAATTAGATTTTTTACCAATTTTATCCTCTAATCTTAAAATTATAAAAGATAATAGTAAAATAAGTTATAGTTATTGGATGTGATTTTATGATATACGGAGGAAACTATTAAATGGCTGAACGACAGATCACCTGTGGGATATGAAGTGAACCACGAGTTTACTATGAAACCCAACTGAAGAACTGAACGACTGAAGAATAATTATTCTCTGAATTCTAAAACAAATGTTGATGGAGAATTATTTCTAATGGCTCAAATTCTATGACTGAAATACAACTCTATGTAGAGTCTCTAGAGATTTCTTAAGGGAATATTCCTTAACACATACCAAGTGGAAGGAATAAAAAAACCTTTACAAACCAAGCACCCAGAAAGCTTTCCCTCAACTTTACCCAAGAAAGACTTCTAGCAACCATATTCACATGGAACGTAGTCACACATGAGAAGCAAAACAAAAAATGTGTTTGGATGGCAAATAGTCATTAAGAAAAAAAAATATACATTTTACTATTTACCAGAGGTAAGGTCAAATTCAGGCTCCCAAACCCAAACAAGTTTATATAAAAATAAGAGAGCAGGACACACTGACAAGAGCAATGAGGTAAAGACCTCAGGAAGTGGTTGGAAAGAAGAGAAAGAAGAACTACTAAAAAAAATTATAAAAGTACAAGTAGGTCTAGGGCCGCTGAGCATAGAGGAAATGAATTCTAACCCATCACATCACTATATTTATAGCATAGTACAATACTAAGTATTTTATAATAAAGACCCTATTCTTTTAAGAGAATGTTAATTACAATTACATATGGAGTATGCATATCTTTCAAAATTTCATTTAAAAGTCAGTTTTGGAACTCAGAATGCAGCTTTTCATAGAAACAACATTATAAGTGGTGGACGGATTTCCAATCTAGAACACAAAAACCTACTTTACCCTTCTGGGGGGGAATTTTTTTTAAGTCATCTCAAATTAAGACCTCAGGAATGCACTTTTCACCATACAAAAATAATTCTAATATGATGGATTGGTTCTAAAATACTACTAATATTCCATTTAGAATTCTTACAACTTTCACACGTCGTTGGGACAAGATATGAAGTAATGATGGAGCTTGGGAAGAAGGAGCAAAACGCAATGGGGGGAGTCCAGGATGATAGTGGAATATGCAACAGAAAAGGGGAGGGGGAGTGAAATCTCCAGAGGCAATGGGAAAAGAAAGGGAAGTGAGAGGTTCAGAACTGTTGGTATATAAAGAAACACGTGCAAATAGCTCTTTATATTCTTAAAAAGAAAAAAAAGAAATATACATTTTTATCAAAAGTCAGTTGAAATGAAAAAAAAAAAATTTCTAGGTTAAAAGAAAAACAAAAGAATTATAAACATGTAAAAATCTGTCAAAACTATAAAAACCAAAAGGATTTACAATAAATATGGAAAATGTGACTTCCTCATATTCAATATTTATTTTCAGATCTGAACATATATCTATATCTATACATATATACACAGAGATATGTAGTTCTAAAGAAATAACTATACAAGGTGATATATCTTTAGAAAAAAATATAAATTATTTCAAGTTTGAATGTGGGGGGGAGGAGAAGAGGGAGTCTATGAACATCTGAAACTAAAATTGCTATAAAAGTTTTACATGATTTTCTAAAACTTCTGAATGTTTTTAAATGTTTGTAGTACCAAAAACATAAGGACAAAGGAGAATTACTTTTTCATCAGTATTCAAAGACTGCATGATTAAAGCAAACACATATTTTAAAAATGATACTCTTTTTAAAAGTCAACTAAAAAACTTTTACTTTTAATGTGAAATTTGCTCCCCCTCTTTCCGTAAGAAAACTCTGTATTGAGTTTTCTATTCATTAAGAAAAGTGAGCATCAAATCAGATTAGGAAATAATGAAAGTATGGTACTCAAAAATTTTCCAAAGAATATGCTCAATTAAAAAGACCACTTACTAATAATACTGCCCTCCCCTCTCCCCTGCTACACCTTTTCCAGTAATAACTATGTAACTTAGTTCTAACCTGTAAAACCTGCTTTCCAGTCTTTGTTTAATTGTACTGAGATCAGTAGGATATGCCACTACAGTGCAATACATGGGATATGCTTGTAGATCCACAGGGGCCACAAATGCAGAAGCAATATCTAAATCAAAGAAGGAAAAAATATTTACACATTGTATTTTTTAAAAAATCACTTTTAAACTAATATCTTTATAAGTTTTCAAAACCACCTTAGCTCTGGAAGGTCATGCGTATTTCTACTAAGTCAGCAGCTATCAGAATATTTCTACATTATGTATGTCCATTGCCATACATTACCATAAAATCAATGCATATCAACAATTCAAAAATGTTTTGCCAAGCTCACTCCTCTATTAAGTACTAAAGTTTTTATCCATTATCATCCTATAATTTCACTTTATATCAAGACAGAATCATTGGAAAAATATTGATATTAAAAAGATAGCTTTTGTTTTAGGGGAAGCTTGGTGCCACTGAAAGCATTGTTATATTTTCCCGTTCTTCATTATCTACTACCTGCAGCATAGAAAACCATAATCTACAAATAATTAAGTTGCAGGTCACTCAAAGGTACATGTAAAAACACATAATAGATATGAATAGGTTGGAGCTATTTCCTACCAAGAACTACACATGGGAAGCTGTATAAAAAAAATATTATCAAAGAAATGTACAAGTGAAAAAGGTTGGGAAGGTTAGATCTATGAAGAGCAAGGGTTGAACAATGGCTTTATGTGTTTCACTAGTACTCCATATATCCTTAATATAATTATTAACAAATAAAATCTGCAAAGTTATATAAGAAAAGTCTACAACAAGAGAAAATAACATAGAAAATCATCACTACCTTTTGAATCTATCATGGATAATGAAAGAAAACGATGAGTCATCCAACAATAACTTAATGAAAAAGTTTCCTAATACATGAAGGCAAATTTGCAATCATCTCAGGCACATAGGTTTAGAGTTGGAAGGGACCTTCAAGATCAAAGTCTAACCCCATTATTTGATTTTTATCTCCAATGAATAAGATGCCCTTTTTTAAAAACCTCAGAATAATTTCCCCAATATACCCCATCACAGAATTCTTTCTTATGACAATGAAAAAAATTTTTTTTTACAGTAAAACTCAACGAAGAAAAAAATCACAAACAGTAATATATGCAACATTCCACATCTATAGTCTTCCGACTAAACAGGAGGAAATATGTCTTTCAGGACCAAGACTGATAAAGAACAATGTATCTGAGTTTGGTAATTTTTTTTTTTTGGCTGCAAAAAAACAAAATAAAACAAAAAAACCCAAAAAACTAACCAGTTCCTACCCTTAAAGGGAATGGTTAAGAAGGGGTTAAGTGTAAATAGACTGCAATACATCAATGAAATATTGTACAGAGGAAACTTACGGCAAGTCTTAAGAGAGCAGACACAGACCAATATGGGTTTTGTGTCATGAAGTTATTTGGTAGCAAAACTGGCCCTCTGTAGATTTACCAGTCAACTGTGAATCAATACTAGTACATCAGGTTCAATCTTTTAACTCAATTCTAGATCTCTACTGTTTTTGCATACACCTTCAAAAAAATCACTTTGAAGATTTTTACATACTTATTTGGAAAAAAGGTTAAGTTTTTCTTCATAAAATAAAGGTAATTTATTTCAGGAAAATAAAATCTCACCAAATTTCCTTATGTTGTCAATTCAATGTAATTAATTTTTTTCTTAACAAATTGGATTATGTACAAAGGAGATTGCCAACAGGCCTCAAAAATCACATCACATATGATTTGGTTAGGCAGTTGTGAATAATTAGCCTGGGAAAAAGTGGATTGGGGGAATAGGGACAATTGATCTGTATTCTTGACCAAGTGAGTTTATACATAAAAACAAATTAGACTTTGTGCTGTTCTAATGGGAAGAACTAGGATTAATCAGTGGAAATTGTAGGAAGGCAGATAAGCTTCAACACAAGGAAGAACTTTCTTAAGGACTAATGTTGCCAAATAAACAAATGAGTTGCCTCATCAGGCAGTACCTTCTATGTCACTGTGGGTGTTAAAGCTGACATTGGATAGCTACCTGAAGGAGACATTATAGAGGTATACAGGTATCTAGCATGGACCTAAGATCTCTCTGAAAACTAAGACTATGTTTAATTTTCAGTTTTATTTCTACTCAAGTTTTCTATTTGTGCATCATCTGTTTCCTCTTTTTTGAGTCTTACCTAGTGTCATGAGCTGGTTTATTCCTGTAATAATTCTTTCACATTCTTCATCCCTGGGATTAGAACCCCATTCTCCATCCAGAGGTTTATAGATCAATGTTCTACATTCAACATCAGTTAAAGGAACACTTGTTCCTAGCTCTTCAGGAAATACAGCTGAAATGCATCAAAAAGAAAATCTGAGAAAAATCATCTTTAGGAAAATTTGAAAATACATACAGACTCTTTAACAACAATTTTAGTTTAAAACTCCTTGAAAAGAACTTACACTTTTATCAATGACAACTTCATTAATACAAAATGTATTTTATACTCTAAAATGTCCATAACTGAAAGTAATGCTCTATAGTTAAATGCAAGAGTGTATTTTATGAAAAAAGAAACAGGTTTTAGAAACATCACATTAGAATTTTAAAACTCTTTAGTTTATCATCAGTTCTACATTATGAATTAAAGTCCTCCTCAAAAGGAGGTTGGGGGGGGGAAGTGGGCACTACTTCAACTTGCTATATGAAGGCCTTGGATAAGATGAGAGTCACCAATTCTACTTCAATGGAAAATCATCAAGCCTTACTACCTGCCCCGTACCTGCCTCCTAAGATCCCCCTACCCTTATTATATCTGCAAAGCCTCAATGCCCTGAAGACCCCAGCATAATTATCTGACCTACTGACTTAACCTAGAACCCATGAGCCTTGCTATCTGCTTTTCCACTAAATCCTTAGGACTTATGCGCCTTTATGTCTGCTCTGCACCTTAACTTTTATATGTTGTCTTCTCCAATTAGAGTATGAGCTCCTTGGGAGCAGGGATTGTCTCTATTTTTTCTATTTATATCTCTAATGCTTACCCACCATGCTCTCTCATTCATTCAATCATTCATGCTGTTATTGAACAAACTGTTTTTCTGGTTCTATTTATTCTAAATCAGTTCATATAAGTTCTAGGATTTTCTGAAATCCTTCTTACAGATGAATAATATTCTATTATATTCATGATCTGTTCAGTCATTCCCCAGTTGATGACTACTTCCTTAGTTTCTACTTCTCTGCTATAACAAAAAGTACTATTATAATTATTTTTGTACATATCTCCACTTTGCCTCTAATACTCTACTTTTCAACTCCACTGAACAAGATGCACCTCCCAGGTTAAACCCATCACATCTCATCTTACCACCTGATGCTAATTCAAGCCTTGACTGATATCTCCCTCAGCCTCCTACCCCCAATGACTGGAGGACAGGATACTGAACTCCTGGATAGCTTCAAGGTTAGAAAATGTATTCAGCTCACTCCACTTTGCATCTGCTACTCTGCCGTTTCAACTCCAAAGAACAAGACACTCCCCCATGCTGAGTACCCCCTTGGTTTTTCTCCTCACTCCCACTTTCTTGCCTCTTTTTGTATGTTGATTTCTTTTGACTGTAAGCTCCATAAGGACAGGGACTGGCTTTTTTACTAATTGTATCCCAGTGCTTAGCACAGTGCCTGGAACATAGTAGATATTTAGTAAATGTTTATTGATTGGACTGGATTGAATTTTGGTCATTTTTCTTTGATCTCTCTGGGACATAAGGTGGGTCAAGGGATATATGAGTCTTAGTGACTTTTTGAACATAATTCCATATTACTTTCCAAAATGTTTGCACCATTTCATAACTTCACCGATAATACAATAATGTGCCTGTTTTCTTACAAATCCTTCAACAATCACTTTTTTCAGTCATCTTTGCCAATCTTACGGACATGAACTTCAGAGTTTCTTTTATTTTCCTTTTTTTCTTATTGATGATTTGGAGCAATTTTCCATATGGTTGTTGATAGCTCTCATCCTTTGAGAACTGTCCCTTCTTGCACCTCCCTCTCTCTCCCTTCTTTTTTTCCCTCTTCCCTACACATGGGGAATCATACATTTACATATGGGTACTCTGCCCAAAGGAAAATAAATTTCTAGAAATATAGCTCTCTGTTAAACCATGCTTTGATAAAGCCTATTTGGAGCTACTTGCCTATGCCTTAAACCCAAATCACTCTAGCTCTCACTGACTGGCCAATAATGGGCTACCCAACCCAACCCTCAGTTGGTCATTGTTTGGGTTTTGTTGGTTCACAGTGAGTATAAATAGCAATTGTTTCTGTTCTGGCCAGGAACTCTGAGGGTCTTCCTCTCCTAGATGAGATTTTTTTTTCCTTTGAATAGGTAAAAGAGGGCATTTCTCCCCTCATTTCTTACCTAGCCTTAATCACTTAATGGTTTTTGCCTCAGACAAACTGAGACCTGGTGAAGATCTTGGCTAAAAAGGCCAAGGTTTCCCACTGCATCGGGGGCCATCTCCAATCATCCTGATCTATGCCTTGTCACTGGACTCAGATGGCTCTGGAGAAGAGAGTGAGGCTGTTGACTTACAAGCCTTGCCTCACTCAAATCCAATTCACTTGCAAGTCAAGACAACACCTTCCTGATGTCATTGGTTGTTTTCAAGAATGAAGGACAAAAAAACAACAACAAAAAACAATGAAGGCCTAAGAAACTTCTAAGTACTGGAGAAGAGTTCTGGAGAACAAACCTGCCTGCTATTACCTTAGGGTGATGTGATGATGGTAGTAAAATTTGTGGTTGGATGAGTCAAAAGAGTTCAGTCTTCCCCCTTTTACAGTTTGTCTTATATCTGCTTGGACCCTTACTCATTTAGCTTTTGGCTACAACCTATTTTAGGCCAGTAGTGACATAAACTGCACAAACAGGTTATGTGGCTTCAGTTCAATTCCTGATTTGTTATAAAAGAATATGTCTTGCATTTTTTGGTAACAGAAGAAATGCTACTCTCTTTTTATTTTAAAAAATTACAATTAAAAATTTTTTATTGAATTCAAAATACTTCAATATGGCTTAATTCATTTTTAAAAAAAACTAATATAACAGTGAAAATGAAAATTTTCCAATGAATTATATTGATCAACAAGTTTATGAACTGATCTAAAACTTATATTTTCATGTTTCATTTTACATGAACATTTCATAATGGACATTGTGTTTTTCAAATATCTTTTTTTTTCCAATTACTTTTTCGGATGAAACATTCACTACAATTTTTTCAAATAGCACTGATTTAATAAAGATGACTCCTATTAACTCAAAATCTCTTTTCTACTATTAAGTTAATTCATCCTACTTCACAGTTACATAGAGCACAATCTACAGATACACATACCATTATTAGGAATAAGTTCCATATCCCAAGGACTCATCTTTTCTGTGTCTCCATTATCCCAGCTTAAAGAAAGATATAATACTTGCATTAAAATTCCAAATAAAAATAACTGCTGAATGAATAAAAAATACAATTTGTCACAAAAAAGTTAAAAAAAAATTCACTATTTTAAGAGATTGAATCATGTACTCAATAGTCTGGTTACTACAAAGGAAAATTTTGAAGGTAATTAGGTGAAACAAAAAAACACAAAGAAAAACAAAAAAACGAACCAGACAGATATTTACCAGACATTATAACACTGAAATAAACTGTCAGGATATTCAGGCTGAAGAGGCTCCTGGCTTTCAATGGTTCCAAACCACCAAGCATCATCTATGACTGATCTGAAACGGTCACCTGGATAAGAAACAAACAGGCAGTACATTACTAAGAATGTCATGTTATAATCCATTTTTAGTAAATACATTTTAAAAGTTTAAATTATTTCTTGTTTGTCCAATTGTTTACTGTGAGTATGAAATTGGATGTTCCCAGAGACTCAACATATCAAAAACATAATTCATTATTTTCCTCCCCAAAACTCATCACTTCTCTAAGTGTTCTTATATCTATCAAGGGTACAGCCATTCTTCTAGTTTTCCCAGTTTGTAACTTTGGCACTGGGGCAACTGGATGGCACAGTCCAGACTTTTGAGTCAGGAAGACTCATCTTCCTGAGCCAAATCTGACCTCAGACATCACTAGTTATGTAACCCTGGGCAAGTAATTTAACATGTCCTCATCTATAAAATAAGCTGGAGAATTAAATAGCAAACCACTCCAGCATAATAACCCAAATGGTGTCAGGTACCATCGAACAACAAAAAGGGGCACAACTTTGGCATTATCTTCCACTCTTCACATTCTCTTACCCCACCTATCCAATGACATGCCAAGTTTTACTGTTTCTATCTCCATATCTCTCATTACGATCCCTTCTTTCCACTCACAAAGCTTCCAGCTAAGGCTGGAATTTGTAATAGGTTTTTTTTTTCTTATTGTGTATTTAAGTTTTAGTATTTAGGTCTAAAATTTAAAAAAATCTAAAAAACAAAAAAAATAAACACACAAACAAACAAACAAACAAACAAAAAAAACAAGCAGCTCACTCTTGCCTCTAGGGTAAAACAAACTCCTGTTTAGAGAAGTTGGGTTTTTTTTAAAGCCCTTCACAACCTGGCCCCAATCAATGTTTTCAAGACATTATTATTCCATCTCCCCTCATGATACTGTATCTTTGCAATGGCCACCTCCCATGCTTGAAATATATTTTATGCTCACTCCTGCCTCTTCCTATCTTTGTAGGCTGCATTACTTTCTCCTGCTCCCCACCCAAACATTGTATGATTCAGACAAACTGGCCTACTTACGGTTATCTGCACACAACACTCTCACTTACAACCATGGTCTGTACAGCCTATCTCCCAAGACTGAAATGTTATTCCTCCTTACTTTCACTTTTTGTAATCTCTAGTTTCCTTCAATTTCTTAAACAGGACTTTGTGATTGCTTCAGTGGTTAGAAGCCCCACTGAAATCACTTTGTGTATGTTTTATATTACCTATGTACATTGTATACCCCAACAGAATGTAATTTCCCTGGGAGCAGATACTGTCTTACTTTGTCTTTACTTTCGTCTTTACAGTTCCAGTGCCTATCATGGTGCTTCACACAGCAAGCATGTAATACATGCTTGTTGACTGATCATGTCTCCCAAGTACTTTTTTATCTAGGCAAAAATTTACTAGTTCCTCAAATGATTTGTATATAGCATAGTCTTTAGACCTCTTACCATTCTGTTTTTACGTCATTTTCTAAAGATGAGTTGTAGTATCCTAAGTGGGGTAACACAAGACAATCCACTGGGATTGGGGGGAAAAACACTAAAACTTCTAAATCAAGAACACGCCAAAAATGACACTTCACTTATTCCTGGGCTGAAATTTTTGTCAGCCATACTATAAGGCAGAAACAATGATAATTTAATCAACTCTGAAATAAAAATAAGCCAAAATTTTGAAATTATTGGAAAGATCACTTGAAATATGGTTTTACGTATTAACTGCTACTAATGATGAACCTTACACTTTAAGTGTATATTGTGACTTGAGCTATTATTAGTGAATAATATGGAGAAATCATGCTCAACGAGATATCTAAAAACTAAGTTTCTTTAGCAAAAACAATATATCACTTGCAAAGATGGAAATTGACTGAGTTTAAACAAAAACCTCTGCATAATTGGTAACAGAAATTGAAAACAGTATATAATAATTAAGCCCAGCCAATTATGTATTTCTTCAATTATATCTATGTATTTTTCAGATGTTAACATTTTACATCTCAAAGTCATCAAAATAAACTGCATTTACAAAGCAGACCTTTAATACCACTCTATCAAAAAGTACTAAACCAAGGATTTTTGGGGGGGAGAAAGGGAAGTATGTTTTTTTGTCCTGCTCTCACTAAAAAGTACTGCAAATAATATTTACTTATATACACTCAAATGTAGAACTTTAGGCTTATTATTTATTAGACCCAAATGTAGAGCTTTAATCTGACTAAATTTCAGTTACTAGATTTGGCCCTTTCACTCTGACCATGAGCTTTAGGCTCATGATCCTGTCCTATTGTTAGCTACTCCTCAGTTTCAACCACATATTTGATAAGAATAAAAACTACAGTATCACCAACAAATTAACAAAAATTTATTAAACCAGGTATCATATCATCTAAGTCAACTCTGAGAAAAGAACAAGAATAAGGACAAATCTTTGGAGATCATCCTTCAGATATCAATACTTTAAATCATGCAAATCTAGATCCTGGAATTTAACTAATTATGAGTCCCCCCAACCCTTTGATTTAATTTAAAAATAATTTAAAATGAAAACTAGTAACAATGATGGATAATGGCACACATATTGGCGAAGAATTTTCAAAAATGCACCTTAAAATAATCTTCATGAAGACATCTATAAAATGATGGTGTTAAATTACATGACCATGTTACCATGATTCAGATGCCTTCCCATTGCTGGAACATCCCTCTGGGGCTATGGCAGAACTCTCCCATTGGTAAGTTCTTCCCAAAACCTTGATTCTGAGCAATAGTCCATGTCAGTCATCAGACTTTGCCACCCTTTAGTCCCTGCTTTTCAATTCCCTTTATGTGTTGCCTTCCCCCATTAGAATGGAAGCTTGCTGAAGGCAGAAACTCTAATAAGGTCAACACAATGCTTAGCATGTAATAAGTACTTAATAAATGCTTGCTGACTTTACCTATGAGGTCCCTTTCAGCTCTTAGATTCAGTTATGAATGGCGCTTGTATAAATCCTCACCCAGCACAAGAAAATAATCAGCAGTACACAAAATACTTATATGCTGGGCCTTTAGAGGGAGGAAAAAAACTAAAACAACTGATTTTTAATAAATGTAATTAGTATTTCTGATACAAAAAAGGACATCAACAATGAATTTCCTATTCAGCAAGTATATTTTTATTCAATTTATATAGTGAGTGAATAAAGCCTCTCTTAAAAAAAATTACAAATGCCTTATTTTTACACCAATCACTTCAAAAATACCATGCCTGCCAATGAAGAGACTCATGTAAAAAGGTTAGCTAAGCAAAAAAAGAGTCAATAAAGATGCTATCTCTGGCAGAGATGGCAACATCATGCACTTCAATTCTCTACCTAGGAAAAAGTAAATGTTTTATCATCTATTCTCTAAGATCCAGGAAATAAGCTGCCTTTCTTTTGAGCTCATTTTGTGTATGTTAAACAGTTCACATTTTCACAAACTAATTATGTACTCACCTATATTCCATCGTCTATATTTTGCATCATCAAATTGTTGCCGCAAGACTAGAAAATCTATAACATCTGGCATATCATGGTACCTAATTTGATAAATACAACAAAAACAAAACATGAATAAGTTGATTAAAGTCAATGATTTAAATATATTTCTTAAAGCTTTGAAAATTTTTGCCTCTTTGAATGTCCCTTACTTCATTGTAAAGGCTCCTCCAGTTAGTTTACCAGTATCAGGATCTAGAAAAGCAAGTTTAAGGCAGCACAGTGTAGGCAAACCCACTTCATATTTTATGCCAACTATTTTCATTAATTCTTGCTCCTAGGGGAGAAAAAAAGAAACAAGAAAACACCATGCTTTTGATTTAAATGTTTTGACTTAAAAGTTTAATATTTTGTAACTATCATAAAAAAAAATCTAGTGAAATGAAGACAGTGAATTTTTTGAATATTTTTTTTGGGGGTGGGGTGTGGAGGTAATGTTGGATTTGTGATTTCATTAGTATCGGTAACTTGTGGTAAAGAAATTAGCCCCACCAAATCAGATCAACAACTGCTCTGCATCTTTTAGTATTACAGAGTTCTTTGGGGTCACTTCGAGGTTAAGTGACTTGACAGGGTCACACAGTCTCTGTCAGAGAAGGGTCTTTATATCCCAGGTCATCCAACCTTCAACTGTATCCAATATGTCATGATGACTCTCAAAATGTGTTTTTCTAGGGGCAGTTAGGTGCGCAGTGGATAGAGCACTGGCCTTGAAGTCAGGAGGACCTGAGTTCAAATCTGGCCTCAGACCAAACACCTGACACTTACTAGCTGTGTGACTCTGGGCAAGTCACTTAACCCCAATTGCCTAAAAAATAAAATAAAATAAAATGTGTTTTTCTAGTAAAACTTAAGATCAGAATGTCAGATTTATTTCACATAAAGTATTAAAGTTGTTAGATATAAAATGAATACAATTGTCTAAAAGTAATCCCGATACATTATGTATCAAACATAAATTGCACCAGTCAATAAATTAGATCAGTATTTTTACTGCAAAGTCGAGATAATGGAATGATAACTCTTTTTAATAACTCTTAAAAGAAAAAAATCTATTCTAAAAGTTTCAAGACAAAAAACTAGTGCTATTTATTCTCAAAGACAAAAATCTTATCTGTATTATAAAATGGTTTCTTCTGACTAATCAGCCTGAATCAAAAAACTTTTTTTGGGGGGGGGGGGGTTTGGTGAGACAATTGGGAGTTTAGTGACTTGCCCAGGGTCACACAGCTAGTAAATGTCAAGTGTCTGAGGCTGGATTTGAACTCAGGTCTTCCTGACTCCAAGGCCAGACCTCTATCCACTGCGCCACTTAGCTGCCCCCCAAAATTTTTTTTTTAAAAACAATAAAAAAAAAAGATGTCATAATAAAAGAAACATTATATTACCCGCAATTCCATTTTATGCCACGGCTGTTTTTTTGGATTAATGCTATATATTTTATTTTTTCGGGCCATTTCAACATATGCTTCATGTCCTTGTCGGAAATAGTAAACCTAAGAAAAAAAAAAAACAAAATGAATCATGTCATAGTTACAAAATATAAATGTAATAACACTTATGATTCAAAATGCAAAAACCATTAAGTGTTATGCTATGTTATGCTATGTTAGCTTAAGCTAAAAGAGTAAACTATTCCATGAGTGAACTGTTAAATTTTGATTGGTTATTATACTGTCACTATTTAACTATAGCCACAGTAGGCAATCAGTCCAAAAATTTTAATATTGTGCTAGATAATGTGCTTAAGTGTGGGGAGCACAAAGAAAGGCCCTAGAGGGGGAAGAACAATAATTAACTAGATACATATAAGATAAATACAGAGCAGATATAAAGTGATCTCAGAAAGGAAGACATTTGCAGCCGAGAGGACTACAGAAGGGACAGGAGCTGAATCTTACAGGATAAACAGAGAAATATTATTGCAAATTAGAAATCCAAACAGGAAAAAAGAACTCTCAATATTATTCTCACACATTATGTAGATCTCTTAAGAAGCTAAAATTTGGTTACAGAACATTTCCAATATAGTTTAGAAAAACTTACAAGTCAAATATGAAAAATCTGTCAAAATAATTTAAATACAACAAAACCATGTTATTCTGGAACTCTACATGAAAACTAAAAGGCAGTGATGAATCATGGTTAGAGTCAGGTAGACCTGGGTCAAGTTCCAACTCTGACAAATAGTGGCTGTATGACAGTGGGTAAGATTTACTGCCCAGACTCACTATGATTGTAAGTAGAAGAACAGAAGGAAGTCTGATATGTATTAGCAGAGAAGTTTCCACACTAGGAGTCTCATATACAAAAATGAAATCACAAAACTGGACAATAAATAACAAATAAAAAACAAACTTTCTTTGTCCTGGGCTCTCTTCTCTTCTATTTTCTCTTCTCCCTTTATACTACTGCACTTGGTTTCATCAGCTCCGACTGACTCAATGAACATCTCCATGTTCTCCAACTGGATGTCACACACATATCATAAACTCTACACCAAAACTGAACTCATCTTTCTCCCTAGACTCTCCCCTCTTCCTAACTTTGCTATTTCTATCAAGGGTACTACCCAGTTACCCAACCTAGGTGTCATCCTCAACTCTTCACTCTCTCACTCTCCATATCCAGTAAGTTGCCAAGTAGTGTTATTTCTCCCTTTGGAACATCTCTCAAATACGCCCTCTTCTCTACTCTGACACTTCTGCTACCTCACATCCTCATTGCCTCATGCCTAAACTACTGTGATAACTTGCCTGTTAGTCTTTTTTCCCCTAGTCTCTCTCCCTATTCCAGTCCATGCTCCACTCACCTGTCAAATCAATCTACCAAAAGATATTATCCCTTATCCCTATTCAGTAACTCCAATGGCTCCTTATCAACTCCAGAATCAAATATAAAATCCTATGTTTGGCTTTTAAAGCTCCTCATAACCTGGCCTCCTCCTGTCTGTCCAGATTTCCTACATCTTACTTAATACCATATAATCTTGAGATCCAATGACCAACGACACTAGCCTCCTTGATGTTCCTCTCACAAGACACTCCATCTCCCAAATCCTTGCATTTTTACTGGCTGTACCCCACGCCTGGAACTCTCTCCCAACTCATCTCTGTGCCTCCTGGCTTCCTTTAAGTCTCAGTTAAAGTCGAATCTTCTGGAAAATGCCCTTCTCAGTCTTCTTTAATCTTAGTTCTTTTCAATTGAGATCATCTCCAATATATACTCTATCTATTGTATTTGTACATAGTTGTTTGCATGTTGTCTCTCCATTAGACTGTGAACTTCTTGAGAGCAAGGACTTTTTTTTAATCTACAATGCTTAGCACTGTGCCTGGCACACAGTAAGTACCAAGAAATGCTTGTTAAGGATAGATTTTTACTGAGCAAAAAGGATGAAGTAATTTAAAAATTCATGAATTTTTAGAGTATTACTAAAAAATAGTAAGAATTCAAATCAGTATGTTTCTTAAACCCAAGGTATTATGAAGAGTAAAGTAGTCCTTCAACTTTAAAATCTTAAAATAAATGTTAAATGACTTAACTTTATGATATTCTTACTATCTGAGAGGTTTAATATGAGTAACAATTACAAAAACTATTTTTTCTTAGTATCATCCATTTATATTAGCTTGAGACATATTCATAATTTGAAAATGATGTAATTTTTGGAGGAAAATATTATGGTAAGGTTTCTCACTTTAAGCTGGCCTCGCCCACCTCAAAAAGGAAGTAATACTATAATTGTAAAAATTTTCCAAAATGTAGGTGGTCTCTTTTTTCAGAGATTCATCCAATTTGATAATGACTCAGGAATCTATTAAACAATTCTTAAACAATTAGACTGTTTTACAGCTTAAAAATTGGGGTATGACTCTATTGCTGTTAAAATGAAAATAGCCAAATTTTTACATGATGGATTTACAGAACAATTGAACACATTTAAATATGCCTTGAAATACAGTACCAGACAATAATTAATAGTTTTATTCATGACTAAATTATAAATTATATTTTTAATATGCCAATCTACTTATATCTATTAAGTTATAGAAAAAAATAAAAATAAAATTAGAGATGGAAGCCCCAGCTTGCGAAATTTCATAAACTTGCCTTAAAAATTCTACCAATTTTGCTTGTGTGAGGCCCCGGGTTCAATCCCCATCATCTCCACTTACTTTTGGGACAGCTAGGCGGTGCAATGGATAGAGCACTAGCCCTGGATTCAGGAGGACCTGAGTTCAAATCCAGCCTCAGACACATAACACTAGCTGTGTGACCCTGGACAAGTCACTTAACTCCACTGCCTAGCCAAGATAAATAAATAAAGTAAAAAAAAAAAAAATTTCTACCAAAAGCTTTTTACTTCTCTTTTACAAACTTTCCATTTAAATATGTAAACACTTTTAAGCAATGTTTCTAAACAAAATCAATGGAATGATTAAAAATATATACATACATCTCTCTAAATATATATACATATACACACAATAAAAAATTGGCAGTACAAGATTTTTCTAATATAATTACAAGTTACTAGAAGTTTGCATTAAAGTCAACTGTAAAAAAGACAAAAAATGAGAGTTAATTTTTAATCAAAAGGTACCTCATCTCCCATTTGCGGTACAAATGGACATCTTCGAGGAACAGTATCCGTAATCCATACTGAAGGCAACCATTCTTCTAAAGTCAAACCATTTTCAGTCAATTCTCCAACAGCCAATCTCTAGAGAATGTTCACAAAATTTGAAAGTGAGTATGCTCACCATAAATAGTACTTGTTACAAAACATCTAGTGAAACTTTATGAAAATAGAAACATCAACCTTCAATATAAAATGCATACTCCTCACATCAAAAAATACTCCATAACAGGGATATTTAAAATAAAGCAAACTTGCCCCCTCAAGAATACATTTTTTAACTGCACAATTATTAACAAACTGGTTTTCTTGAAATTAAAAAAAAAAAGTTAACCATTGCAGTGATGAAAACAAGAATTCAAAAACAGTAGATATTAAGGTCCCTTCTTGATCTAAATCTATGAAACACAGTGCTGAGAATACAATACTTATTTCCTCGAGAAATACTGAAGTTTTTAAATTGCACTAAAATACTGCAAGTCTTTTTTATTTTTTTTTAAATAAGGGTATGGGATGAATCAGTTGATTTACTAAACACCTACAATACAAGGCATTATCTTAATTTTAAGAACATTTTACATTTTTTTAAATTACAATTTTTTTTATTAATAAATGATTGTTTAATTTATTCTATCTATCCAAATGCTTATTTAAAAAATACAATTAGGGTACTCTATCTGTAGTTTTAGCATTTTACAAATGTTGGGATTGCATGGAAAAATACCGAAGAATCTTAGGAAGGAACCTTGGTGTTTGTATAGTCCAACTTTCTACTCCATGCAGCAATCCCTTCCATAGTACACCTAACAATCAGTTATCTGTTTGAAAAGAATTCACCATCTATCAAGACAATTCATTCAATTTTGTAATAGCTCTAGCCAAAACCTGTCTCTTTGCCCTGGTTCCAGTTCTGCTTTCTGAAGCAACAGCTAAAAAATCTACTCAGTATAGTAAGTATAGTGTATGTCCATTTAATCTCTACTTCTCTAAGTTAAATATGGATATCTCATATGACATGGTTTCTAGATCCTTTAATCACCCCTCTGGATGTACCTTATTTGGTAGGCCTGAACTGTACAAAATATTATAGATGCAGCCTGAGGAGTAGAGAGAAAATAAACAGACTACTATTTCCCACGATCTTAATACTATACTATTAATATTATAATTAGCAATATTATTGACAGTTATGTCTATTCTCTGTCTTTTCTTGTTAATGTTGTTATTTATGTAGCTTAAGAACGTCAAATGCAACATTTTTTTTAATAGTCACTTTATCCTTGTTGTCTCTAAATAAACTTCTGCTTAAAAAATTAACAAAAAGTCCTGCCAAGTCAATTATAATCCCTCCTGTACCTGTCAGAAAAAAAAATTGGGGTGGCAATTAACCTAAATGCATAACGCAATACGTGTTATATTAGATACTCTCTTCTCTCTAGGTTTTTGGGACCCCATTCTCTTCTGGTTGTCCTACCTATCTGATCACTCTGTCTTTGTCTCCTTTGCTGGATTATCATTAAGATGATGCCTTCCAACTACAAGCAGACATCGTTCCTCAAGGTTGTCCTGGGCCCTCTTCTCATTTCCTTCTATGCTACCTTCCCTCAAGTCTCATCAGTTCACATGGATTTAATTACCATCTCTATGCTGATGATTCTCAAATGTACCTATCCTGCCCTAAATTCTCTAACTTCCAATTTTGCATCTCCAACTACCTTTCAAATATCTGGAACTGGATGTTCAGTAGACATCTTAAACTCATTATATGCAAAAGAGAACTCAATATCTTTTCTCCAAAGTCTCCCCTGCCTTCTCTATTATTTTAGAGAGCAACAACATTCTCCTGGTCCCTCAGACTCACAACCGTGGAGTCATCTTCAACTCCTCACTATCTCCTCTCCTCTACATCCAATCTATGGCCACGGCCTATCAATTTCACCTCTGAAACATCTCTCAAATACATGTTTCTACTCTGACACTGCCACCACTTTAGTATAGACCCTCATCATCTCATACCTGGAATACCACAATAGCTGGCGGGTGGGTGCGCCTGCCTCACCCCACTCCAATCCATCCTCCAACCAAAGTGATTTTCCTAAAGAGGTCTGATCATGTCACCCTAACCCCACCCAAAAAAATGCCAGTGGCTTTCTATTGCATCCAGGATCAAGTACTAAATGCTCTGTTTGGCATTCAAAGTTCTTCATAACCCAACCCCCTCCTACCTTTCTAGTCTTTGTACACCCTACTCCCAGCATATACTCTTTGATCCAGTGACGAGGACTTTGTGATAAGACACTCCAATTCTTGGCTGTGGGCATTTTCTCTGGATGCTCCCATGCCTGGAACGCACTTTCTCTCTTCATCTCCACCTACTGACTTTCTTGGCTTCCTTTAAGTCCCAACTAAAATCTCATCTTTTACAGGAGGCTTTTCCTAAAACCCTCTTAATTCTAGTGCCTTCCCTCTGTTAAATAGTTCCTATTTATCCTACATATAGCTTGCTTTGTATATACTTATTTGCATGTTGTTTCCCCCGTTAGACTGTAAGCTCCTTCAGGGGAGTTAATATCTTTTTCCTCTTTTTTGTATTCCCAGAGCTTAACACAGGGTCTGGCACATAGCAGGCATTTAATGTTTATCAACTTATTGAATGACATTATACTGATCTCCCTTAAATTAAACTTGTTTTTGGCAAAGTTCTTTAGCTAATGGGATTATTGTAATCTTAAAATTTTAAGCTTTAAAAAAAAAATGATGCAAAGAGAGACAGCAGCAAGATACAGTGAAAAGAACCTAGAGTCACAGAAGGGCTTGGATACCTTGAAGGCAAGGACCTTGAGTTACAACACCTAAGATCAAATTCTAACTCTGTTATCTCTATGGTAATCAGTAGGTCATAACCTCTTTGGATCTCAGTTTCCTCATCTGTAAAATGAGGAGGTTGCAAGAAATGATCTTTTAATATCCCTTCCAGTTCTAGATCTATCAGGTCTGCACAACCTGCAGCCTGACAAAAGATTTTGGGTGGCCCATGAAAAATGTAGAGGAAAACATCCTTTACATTTCTTGCAGGCCACCTGAAATCCTTTGGTGTGCCCCCTGGGCTGCAGGTTGGGCAGGCCTGATCTACGATCTTAGTGGCAGTTAGACGGTGGTGTATATAGAGCTCTAGGCTTGGAGACTGAAATCTTGAGTTTGCATCGAGCCTCAGACACTTACTAGCTAAGTGACCCATGGCAAGTCACTTTACTTCTGCCTGACTCAGTTTCCTCAACTGTGAAACAGGGGTATTAACTGCATTTACTTCTTATGGTGGTTGTGAGAATCAAATGAGATAATATTTCCAAAGTGCTCAGTACAGAGCCCAGCTTTCTCTTATTTTCCCTTTCCCTGATGATTTGGTACTAATGTATTTTAAAATAAGTGAGATGTTTATAGAAATAAAAGAAGAGTCTAGTTCTAATCTAATTTTCCAGAACTTTTTCCTATTACCTTCTTTCACCTACTAAACATATCTCAAGAGCCATTCTCTAAACATGGACTAGACCTTACTGGCTTCATACCTTTATTTTTACTATAATTCTCTATGTGTGGAATGCTCTTCCATTTAGTTCTACTCACTGCAGGCTTTAAACTAGAAGCTCACATTTAAAGCCCAACTCAATTTCTTTGAAGATTTCCTTCAGCCACATCAAATCAGGCATGATCTGTCTCCTATAAGCTCTCACTGAAATTTATGTATTTATTATACAATAAGATGTCATCTCCTTCACTGTACCGTAATTTCCTTGAGGGTAGGGACTGTGGTTATTCATTTTTATATAAGTAAACATTTTTGTACAAATATGTTTCTATTTGTAGGATGAAATAAGATAATATTTGTAAAGTGCTTAGTACAAGTACTATGGTGCTTAATAAATCCTTCTTTCCTTCCCTATTTGTATAAATACTTGATACTTCTTGGATCTATGAATCTATCAATATGGATATCCTTTTGGACGCTTCTACTGACAAAGATGATAATGCTGATAGTTTCCAGATTGACATGAGAATTGCTGTGGCTAAAAAAAAAAATCAACATCATGGTGATGAGATCTGATAGTGGATAGTTTTGTCCTAGGAAAACTGACATCAGTAGGCCCAGACTGGAAGAATTTCCAGTCTAAGAGGATCTGATAGAGCTTGCACTCAACTGGAAGGGCCCTTCGAGAACCCAAGGTCACCGAGAGTGCCCTTAAGAGGTTTTTAATCTATGAATATAGCTGTCAAAAGAAGGATATGGGGAGGCAGAGCCAAGATGGCAGAGTAAAAGCAGTGACCTGCTTGAGCTCTCCCCCAAACCCCTTCAAATACCTGTAAAAAAATGGCTCTAAACAAATTCCAGAGTAGCAGAACCCACAAAAAGACAGATTGAAACAAATTTTCAGCCCAAGACAACCTGGATGACTGATTAGAAAGGTCTATCGCAGTGGGCTGGGAGAGAGAGGAGCGCAGTTCAGTGTGGGCTACGCAGGCAAAGACCAGGCCTCAGAGAACCTGGGGCAGACCTCAGGGGACTGAATCAAGGGCAGCTGTGGAGGTCTCCAGACTTCTCAACCCACAAAGACAACGTAGAAGGTCAGTGGGAAAAGTCTGTTTCTGCAGCGCTTAAAGACTAGCATGGATCCCAGCCCGATTCCCTGAGCTCAGCCCCAGGGCAGCGGCTGCCTTCTGGGCTTCCAGCCCACAGACTGAGGGGGAATCGAATGGCTGATCAGAAGGGGATTGCAGGGATCTCTCTGCTGTTACAGGATTCTCTTGCTTTGCACGTGCTTGGATCTGGATCACAGTTCTGGGTGGCAGTCCTGGGGCGAGGAGAAGTGCTGGCGGGGTGGAGCTTGTAGCGGCTGTGAAAAGGAAATCCTCCTCACAGTTCCAAGACAGAAAAGAGTGCTCACAGACCACAGCGCAGGCCAAGAAAGGAGTAAACACCTCACCCTTGATCATAGCACCTTGGAAGAACTGAAAATTTACAGGTCCCTACAAGTATCTCTGAAAACAGCTGCACCAAACCCCTGAAGCTTGGGACAGTACATTCTCCA